AAAAGATTTTCATTATTTGTTATGGTGATCTGTAATCAGCGATTAAAATTCACTGGAAACTCCAATGATGGTTGGCATATTCTAGCAATAAAGTATTTTAAAATTATGTACATTGTTTTTTAGACATATGCTATTGCACACTTAATAGTGTAAACATAATTTTTTTTAAATAATAAATTTATTTTTTATTGGTGTTCAATTTGCCAACATACAGAATAACACCCAGTGCTCATCCCGTCAAGTGTCCCCCTCCGTGCCCGTCACCCATTCACCCCCACCCCCCGCCCTCCTCCCCTTCCACCACCCCTGGTTCATTTCCCAGAGTTAGAAGTCTTTATGTTCTGTGTCCCTTTCTGATATGCATCGGGAAACCAAAAAATTTGAGTCGCCTTATTGTGGTATCACTTTATTGTGGTAGTCTTGAACTGAACCCACAATATCTTCAAGGTATGCCTGTATTTTAAAGAACGGAGAAAAAAAATATTGTTTATATTGAGATTTTTGCTGTTTCTTTTGTTCTTCATTTATTCCTGATGTTTCCAGCTTCCTTCTGACATCATTTTCCTTCTGTCTAAAGAATCAGAACATATTTTTCTGGCAATGATATTACATCTTTTAGTTTTCTTTAATCTGAAAAACATTTTGGACTTTTCTCCTGAAGTATATGATTTTTTTTTTTTTTTTAGAAGTCCATGTTCTTTTTTTTTTAGTTTTTTTTTATAAAATTAATTATTATGGTGTTCCATTTACAAATACAGAATAACACCCAGTGCTCAATCCGTCACGTGTACCCCAGTGCCCGTCCCCAATCACCACACCCCCACCACTCTCCCCCTCACCACCTAGTTTCATTCCCCGAGTTAGACGTCTTTATGTTCTGTCTACCTTTTGAATAATTCAACAATTTTTCTCCCTTCTTATATTCCCTTTTCGTATCTTCATATTCCCAAATGAATGAGAAAATACACCGTTTGTCCTTTCTCGGTTACTGTTGGCCAGTTCAAACGGTTGTTGCCTGAGTTCTCCTCTGGGATTGATGGAATCTTGTCTTCTCATTTGGTTCTTTCATTATTTTGAGTTTATCTTTGTGTATGGTGCAAGAGAGTGGTCAGATTCATTCTTTAGCATGTGGATGTCCATTTTCCAGCACCATTTATGAAGAGACTTTGTCTTTTTTAGAGGATGGTTCTTACCTCCTTTATCGCATATTAGTTGAGCCCTAAGTTCAGGGTTCCACTTTTGGCGTTCTCTGTTTGTTCCATTGATCTATATGTCTGTTTTTTGTGCAGTACCACACTGCCTTGATGAACACAGCTTTGTAGTACAACTGAAATTGGTTGCGGCCGATATGGTTTTCTTTTTTATAAATTCCCTGCTGTTGGGGTTTTCTGATTTCCACACAATCTTAAAAATAATTTGTTCTAAGTTAGAAGAAAGGTCCATGGTATTTTGTAGGATTGCATTATACGTGTAAATTGCCTGGGGTAACATGCCAATTCTTCACAATATTAATTCTGCCATCCAAGAGAGTGGAACATTTTTTCAACTCTCTTTGTGTATACCTCACTTTCTTTCAGAAGGTTCTGTTATTTAGGGTATATTTTGAGAACATTTGAATGGTAATGGTTCTCAACCCTTTTATTTTCAGGTTGTCGGTGTTTTCTGTTAAAATGATGTCTCTTGTAAGACAGAAATAGAGGGGTCCTGTTTTTTATTCTAGTCTGAAAACACTGCGCCTTTTGCTGGGGTTCATAAGCTTCCCGTTCAGGTTATTGAACTCTTCTTAATGGGTTTTAATGGAGTCCCTTTAAAATTTCTTGCAGAGTAGGTTTGGGAGGTCACATATTCTTTAAGTTTCCTGCCAGTTTGGACGCTCTTTATCTCTCCTTCCATTCTTGATCTGAGAGTGTGGATAAAGTTTCTGGATGCATGATTTCACATTTCAGGACCCTGACTATATCTGCCAGCCCTTTCTGGCCTGCCAGGTCTCTGTGGAGAGTGTCAGCTGTTACCTTATATTCCTCCATGAAAGTCAGGATCTTCAAGTTCTTGCTGCTTAAGGCCTTTCTTTATCTTTGAATTTGCAAGCTTCACTATTAGATGTCTAGGTGTTGAACGGTTATTAATTGAATTTAGGGGGGGACTCTCTATTCCTGGATCTGAATGCCTGTTTCCCTTCCAGATTGGGAAAGTTTTTCAGCAAGGATATTGTTCAAAGAATATTTCTGGCCTCTGTCCCTTCGCCGGCACCTCGGGAACCCAATTAAAGGTAGGTTTTTCTTCTCAGTCTGACGTTCTATTGCCCTTAATCTGTATTCTGGTCCTTCATTGTTTATCCTTTTTTCTCGCTTTCCCTTTGCCTTACCTTGTTTCTATGTCACCTCACTCGTTCTTCACCTCGTAACCTCGTCTGTTAGGATTCTAGTTTGGAATGCATCTCCTTCAATAGATTTCTTTAATGTCCTGCTGATTGGATCAAATTCTGCAGTCCTGACGTTCTCGTGAGGCCTTCATGCTTATTCAAGCGCACCCAGTAGCAGTAGACTAGTGGCTTGAATGGCTTTCAGACATGAAGTGTAATCAGATTTTGTAACTCAGTGGGAGGAGGGATGTTTTGATTATTTTCTTTTGAGTTGAGGTTTTCCTTTTGTCATTTTGCTCAGTGCAGAGTGGCCAGAAACAGTTGTATTGGAAAGGGGGAGGTATCACTGGTCGTTCTAGCTGGTTTCTTTGGGAGGAGGGGCCTGTTGCGTGATCTTTCAAGTGGTTAAGCACTTGGGGGGAGCTGCTTGCCCCTGCTGTGTAGGGCTCTGAGGGGGTTGTATACCCGCAGGCCCAGGAGGAACAGACAGCAGTAGTTGAATGGAACTCAGGAAGCAGGATTCAGCTCCGCAGGGAACTTGGGGCTCGGGGTCTGGGCTCTCCGTCCGCTGGCCTGGGAGGTCGGGGCGGGGCCGATGATCAGACTCAGCACGGGGCAGAGGTCACGCTGTTCGGGCCTCCGGGCCTCTGGGGGCCTGTTGGGAGCCGGATCTGGGCTGTTGTCCCGGCGCCTGTGCTCCGGGGCTGCGCTGTTGATTCGGCTCCCGACCTGAAAGCTCCCATCGCTGGAGCGCTCCCGAGCCCCTACGAGCTGTCACGCGTCCGGTCCCTCCTAGTGCCGGCGTGCAGCCCTTCGGGAGCTAGGCGCACTCTTACCGCGGCGCATGTGTTTGGTTTGTGTCCAGGGAGCGGGGCATCCCCGCCTGCTGGGTCCTGCTCCAAATCCTGCGAGCCCTTCCGCTCCGCCCGGAGAAGGTTGGTGCAGCTCCTGCTCTCCGGGCGGGGCTCTCCTGTCTGGGGACCTCGCCCCCGGCTCAGCCGCTCCACGCGGGGCCCCCCTCCCCCTGGAGGCCTATTGTTTCTTTAATTCTTTTTCCCGGTCTGCTACTTGATAGATAGAAGCGGCGACTTTCTCACTGTGCTTTCCAGTGGTCTCTTTTTACATTCAGGCGAATTCGTAAAAATTTTCAGGATGGTTGAAGGTTCATTAAGGTAATTTGGGTGGGGGCAGGTGATTTGGGGAGCATCTTGCTTTCCGCATCTTGCCCCTCTAATGAAGATGATTTTTAATCACAGGATTCTGACTGGGCAGTTCTTTTTAGTGCTTAGAAGTACTCTGCCATTTTTTTCTGACCTCTACGATTTCTGACCAGAAGTCTGCTATCATTTGCGTTGTTCTCTTATAAATAATGTGACCTGTTTTTATATTTTTTCTTTCTCTTTAATTTTTAGCAATTTGATTATGACAGATCCTAAAGTGAATTTCTTTGGGTTTATCTTATTTTAGATGAGTTTTTTTGATTTGTCAGTTATATCTTATGGTAAATTGGGTAAACTTTCATCCATTATTTCTTCAAGCATTTCTTTTGCACCACCCTTTTCTCCTCTCCTGGGATTCTAATGACATAAATGTAAGACCTTCAGTGTTGTTCCATATGCCCCTGAACACTCTTGATTTTTTCAGATTTTTTCTTAATTTTTTAATTGAAGATAGTTTAATCTATCATCTTATGTTGTTGTTTAATGTGGGTTTTTTTTCTATGAATCGGTCTTTAAGTTCACTGACTTCCCTCATCTTCATTCTGATAGCCCATCCAATAAGTTTTCATTTGGATTTTGTATTTTTTAGTGCTAAAATTTTCATTTGGTTCTTCTTTATATCTTCTCTTTGTTAAGACTTAGTCCTTCCATTTGTTTTAAGAACACCCATATGTACTTTAGTCTCCTTCATGGAAATCCCCCCTTTTGTAAAAGCTCCTGAGATTTGACCTGTTTATTTTCCTTTTGACTCTCAGAGAGTCAGGTGCAGAATACACAAAATAAAAATCTGGTTACTTAGATGAGTGGCAATGTACTATGTTCATATGGTTAGAATGATTGCTTTGGCTGATTTTTCTCATTTTGAGCTTGGGTTCAGAGCCCTAGGCATGCATGTTGCCATGGCTAATTTCTAGCACTATATACTGATAAGTCTTGCCACCTCTCTGGGCTGCATCTCCACAGGGGTTGGATGGGTCTCTGAGCTACTTTCCTGCTCTAGCATTCTAGGCTCTCTGTTCTGTGAAGCATGGAAAGCACCATGTGTATTTGTTCTCTGGCTATTTTCTCCTTACCCTTGTTTGGCCATAGGACAATATTGAAGACTGTTTTGTGACATTACAGTGAACTTGGGAATTTTAGAATTCTTAGAAAACAGGACCACCATTGACCACTGGAAACAGCAAGATTTAGTCTTAGTGCAAAATTGTATGTTCCATATGATGGAACTCTCTTCTGTCAGCCAGGCTTCATATTTTGCAGTTATGGAAGTTTTCTCAGCATCTAATTAGAGCCTCTTTAAACTGCAGTTTTCCAAGGTCTGCCCAGCATCTTTGTCCTAGCCTTGGCAGGCCCTTTCTGGTCTGCTCTGGAATGCTTTGCCTTTCCACTACTGCTTTTCTTTTCTTTCCTTTCCACAGCTACTTCAGCTCTCAGCTGCTGCTGTGGACAAAGGACGCAGTGTAGGTGAGGTCCTGCAGTCAGTGCTGCGCTATGAGAAGGAGCGACAGCTGGATGAGGCGGTGGGAAATGTTACACGGCTGCAGCTGCTGGACTGGCTGATGGTGAACCTGTGATTGGCGCCCACCCAATGATTTCCCCTCTTCCCCTCCCTTCTGACTTCCACAGCTCCCCTCTCCATATCCTTACAGAGCCCTAACATTATCTTCATACCACTCACATCAAAGACGTCATCTTATGCTAGTCACTGGATTTTTCAGATTTTCCTGTCCATGCAAGCAAGGACACAAAATTAAAAAAATTACAATTAAAGGGCTCCAGGTGTTTTGTTTTCTTGGGATCCAATGGGTAAAGAAATGTCAGGAATTAAAAGATAATCAGATGGATAGCAGAAGAAAAATAGTGCTGGACTGAGAGGCTCTGGCTAATGTCATTCATCCTGTTTCTATGTATCCCATCTTTGCCATAACTTGAAGATCCCCTGCCTTAAAGTATTCCTAAGAATAAGAAGCCATGATTTATTTTAGCTTTTATAACCATGAAAATCACTCTAGTGGTATTGAGGACTTGGCTTCTTTTCCTGTCTCTCTAGAGCTGCAGAAAATTGTCTTCCTCACCTTTATCCATGATTAAATATAGTTGGTGTTAAAAAAGGTCCAGAAGACCTGAGTTCTGTGCCAGTTCTGTACTTTACTGGCTATAGGACCTGGGACAAGTCACCTGTTATGACACTTCTCTGATTTAACTCTGATTTAATGTCCATATCACCCCACTTTAGAGACATTTTCTGTTCTTATTCTGACCTTTCTGTGGAATTTTTTATTTTTTATGTTTCTAGAAACTTTTATCCTTTGGTTTCTAATTTTTTCATTTTTTCCATCTCCTGGGGGCTTTACTTAACTCTGTTATCCCCTGGCATATTTATCTTTGCTACTTTCTTTTGACCTTCTGCTATCCTCATTCTCTTTCACCTTTCCTGGGTGATCTTATCCAAACCCACTGCTTCAATTATCTGGTGTCTCCCTTCATGGAATATTACACAGTGACTAAGATGAAAACTATAAAGCCAGGTATATTTTCCATGTTGTTTATGAGGTTATGATCTTAAGAAGTTTCTTGTAAAATTGTATCTGTTTTATAATTACAATCATATAGACAAGGACTAGAAAGCCAAACAAAGGAGATTTTGAGGATGGTGGATGAGTGAATATATCCTGTTGTTTATTCAACTTCCCTTCCTTTGAGAAATACTCTCCTCTACTCCATGGTCCTAGACGAGCATCAGTTAGGTGCTACCATGGAGTCCAGTCATTTCTGAGACTTTCCTGCAAGCACTGCATCTTTTGACTGGATTATGGTGGTCACTTTAACTTCTGGGAAGAGCTTGTCTTTAGAATAAAAACCACAAAAAGAAGCAATGCTGATAAGTAGAGGGATTCTGAGCCCTATGACCTTGTCTGAATGTTTAGACTACAATGCTTGAAATTATACCTACTCCTCCTGATTCCCCAATTATATAAACCAAATAATGTTCTCTGTTGCTTAAACTAGAAGCAACAAACTGAATTCAAACTAGTTTTTCATTTTCATTTTCAAACAAGAATCCTAACAGATTAGCTGTCTTGGGGGAAAGAAAAAAAATATTTAAAGTTCTATCAGTGATGCTATAACATTAAGTACATACACACATATCATTTCATCTGGTTGAGGGCATAAGGAGGGAGTGTAGGTGCAAGAACATTCTCCCATCCCTCATAATAGGAATCATGCTAACTAGCTATGTGAATAGAGTTTTTTTTAAACAAACCTTTATGCATTAAAAAACAACAATCTGAAATATTGTACAATATAAGTGCTGTCTCTAATACAAATCACTGGTGGAAAGGAACATGACACACCTTCAGCAAAGGTCATACAATAGGTGGTAAAATATTCATGTTCTTGGGTGAGGAGTTTTTACTTTGTTTTCCTGGGGAGGTCTTGGACTCCTCTGGTCCAACAACTGCCTCTGGCTTTCTGGAAGTTTCTGTTAGTTGAGGCAGCTGGACAACTTCAGCTGCATGCTGCAGAGAGCTCCACTGATCACCCGAATTCTGAACCTGCTTAGCAGTGACACTGCTTGTCTCTTCTTTGATGATCACCTCTGCCAAAGGAGAGAAAAGACAGAGGGAGCAAGTGTGCAAATGTGAATTACATTCTGTCCATTAGACTATAAATCATTTTGGGAAAATCCTGGTCATAATGATATAAAAACAATATGTAAAACACATAGAATTAAGCACATTTATTAATTTCTTTGATCCTTTCCACAACCATAGAGAATAGGCATGATTCTCATTCTCATAAATGAAAAAACTGGGATAGAGAGGTTAACTAGAGTGCCCAAGGGTGGTAAATAGTAGAGCCAGAATTTAATCCCAAGTAACTGACCCCAGTGACCATGTACATAACCCATGAGGTTATATTGCATATAAAAGATATGTGCATAATGCCATAATCTGTCTGATAAAAATTCAAAAGGTAATTATAGGCCAGGCAGAGGAGGACACAGTGAAAGAAAAGGAAAGGAGGAGAAAGGGAATTAAAGACAGGAGAAACATGGAAAATCCTAATGATAAGAAGGCAAGAAAGAAACAAACTCAGCTAGAAGCAAGTCTCTTGAAAGAGGTTAAATCTCAAAAGTGAGAAATGGCAGGCTAGTAGTGATACAGTCAGAATGATTATCCAAAGTTGAGTTCAGAGACATTGACATGAATCCTCCAGAAATACTCAAGCCCTGGACTAGGGGAAGAAGACTGGCTATTTGAGGGGCTGTACCTTTTATGCCCAAGCGATGATGCCCTTGAACCTTGTCCTTCTGAGCCTCAGAGGGGAGACAGAGACTGGGTTTCCTCAGGGTCTGGGGCCTGTACCGTGGTTTGAGATTCCGTGGCTCATGAATCCAAGCATGCTTGAGGGCCTGGTCAGGGGTCATGCGAAGAGAAGGTTCCCATCTATATACCAACAAAGCCCAGCACAGGTTATTGTTTCACTTCCCTTTCTAAGGTTGAAAACATTTAAAAAGACCCCAATAAAGAACCTAATAAATAAGATATAACAAAAATAATTCTTTCTTAATGAACCCATTTAAACTGTGTTATAACTCAAAGATATCATCATAGAACAGAGATTACAACATATAAAAGTACCTGAAATTTGCTTGACAAAGCAAGAAATATATTAGAGCCTGAGTCTTCCAGAGTTCCTAGAAACTCCCTTACAAGAAATATTATAGAAAATCTTAACCATGGGGACTTAAGGGTTTATTAAGTAACTTAGTAAGCTAAGATCAAAGCAAAGAGATGCTTAATTTCAAGTTCCAAACTACAAAATCTGGGCCTTCAAATATATCAGACACAACATTACAGAGTGCTAGAATATTAATGAGGAGATTTGGATATAATCCAGCCAAACATTGAATGTAGTAACAAAAGGCATCTGACAGAATTTTCAACATGGAATCATCCTGCCATTCTTGAGTATTTTTAGTGACAAGGCACTTACTCACAGAGTTAGCTATTCCAGTATTGATAAAACCAATTCTTTAAAAGTTCTTCATTTTTATTGATCCAAAATTCATACTTCCCAGGACCTTTAAACTAATAACTTAAACCCAGGTTCTAATTTTACCCATTAACATTACAGTGTCCCCCCTTATCTGTGGGGTAATACATTCTACCCCTAGTGCATGCACGAAACCTCAGATAGTTTCTAGATATACTATGTTTTTTCCTATACATACCTATGATAAAACTTAAATTCTAATTTGGGTGCAATAAGAGATTAATGATAATAATGGAATAGAACAATTATAACATTATACTGTAATAAAAACTATGTGAATATGGTCTATTCTCAAAATATCTTCTAGCTGTCCTCACCCTTCTTACAATGTGAGATGATGATAAAATGCCTATGTGATGAGATGAACTGAGGTGAATGACAGTGATGTAGTACTAGGCTACTATTACCTAGTAGTCACCTGCTTCTGGGCTGTGGTTGACCACAGGTAACTGAAACTGCAGAAAGTGAAAACATAATCTCTTATGTCACAATTCTCCAACTATCTGAAAACATTTACATTACTAATAACTGTTGGTTATATATTAGAGTTGTCACCTTCTTAGATAGAAAATTTCAGCTTATTGTCCATCATGCTGAGAATAGCTTCTAACTGCTGGTAGATGACACTAATATTCTAGATTTATAAGATCATAAACAACTCAAGTTCCCAGTTCTTTTTCAAATGAATCGCTGCTAAACTATAACTTCCCTCTCCTGAATTTCTAAAGTTAGCATATAAAAGCTAGACATAGGACTTTATATTTACCCCTATTAAATTTTTTTTAAAGATTTTATTTATTTATTTATGAGACAGAGAGAGAGAGAGAGAGGCAGAGACACAGGCAGAGGGAGAAGCAGGCTCCATGAAGGGAGCCTGATGTGGGACTCGATCCTGGGTCTCCAGGATCATGCCCTGGGCTGAAGGCAGTGCTAAACCACTGAGCCACCCGGGCTGCCCTACCCCTATTAAATTTGACTCAAAACATTTAGTCTGTCATTCCAAAAAACTGCTAATTAGCAAAAAAAAAAAAAAAAAAAGGAATGATAAGATAATAGGCCCCAATAACTTATCTCTTGCAAGTTGTTAGCAACCAGCCCTTTACCCTAAAAAAGAAAAATATTGAGACACCTGGTTGACTCAGCAATTGAGCATCTGCTTTCTGCTTAGGGCATGATCCCGGGATCCTGGAATCAAGTCCCACATTGGGGTCCCTGCAAGGAGCCTGCTTCTCTCTCTGCCTCTCTCCATGTGTCTCTCATGAATGAATGAATGAATGAATGAATAAATAAATAAATACTTTTTTTAAAAAGATATTTCTTTCTTGATTCTGAACTCTGTTCTGGATGGTTGGGGTTTCTGGATATAACTCAGTCTCAGTAGTAAGTTTCTGTCATTTGTTATTGCAAATTCATTCTATAGCCTCAGCAAAAGTAGGGATGGAGACAATGGTGGAATATAGGATCTTTCTCTAGCTCCATTTTTCAGATGAGTAGCATGACCCTCTAACTGGGGAAAACTTCCAGCAGTGCATGATAGCCTATCCGCTCAGGTATTACCTAAATTCCCAGAGTGCGTGAATATGAGAGGAATATTTTGCTGAAACTACTCCATCCCACTGGAAGAATGAGACAACAAAAACATATGGTCTCTAAAAATACTCAAAAATTATAGAACTAATATAGCTAAAAGCCACCTTAGGAATACTTCATTATATAGAAAAAGAAACTGAGGCCCAAAGAGATACAATGACATCAAATATCATGTGACTAATCTATTTGCCATTTAGTGGAGACACACTTGCAAAACCCCTTTTAAAATAATAAAAGCTAACATTTTTTAAACACTAGGTATTGTTCTGAATGCTTTATGTTCTGTTCCTTTTTAAACTGTGACTTGACCAAAGTACAGAACTTAATTTCTAAGCATATAGATTCTAAAAAGCTGTACATAATAAATGGTTAATGGAGCACCCTTTTCCTAATCCTTTACTTTAGGCTATAAATCCTAGGGGAATGGGAGGGACCCAGAAGCCATATGCTGGGTGTTTATGCAAACAGTTACAACATGCAAGAGGTTGACCTCAGTTCATGAAGCAGAAGCTATTTAGAACTGGCCTACAACCTTGCTGCCAGGGTTTGAGGCCAAGAAGGCAAGCTCTACCCACACGCTAATCTAGGGCAAGTCATTGAACCTCAGCTTCCACATCTCAAAATGGAGCAAATAATCTGCCCTGCTAATCAATCACATAGGAAGGGAAGAGAAAAGTCAGTCAGATGAAGGGAAAGCATTCTACAGACTCTCAAGCACTATGGTCAGTATTTATTTTATTATTTTTATAACTTTGTTCTGGCCCCAGACTTTCACCAGCAAACGTGAGGAAAAATACAGTATTTAAGAGGAAACCCAGAGGGGTACCTGGGTGGCTCAGTTGTTTAAGTGTCTGCCCTCAGCTCAGGTCATGATCTTGGGGTCCTGGGCTTGAGCCCTATGTCAGGCTCCCTGCTCAGTGAGGAGCCTGCTTCTCCTTCTCCCTCTGCCTGCCACTCTCCCTGCTTGTGCTCTCTCTCGCTTGCTCTCTCTCTCTCTCTCAAATAAATAAATCTTAAAAAGAAAAATAAAAGGAAACCCGAGGCAAAGACACCCCTGCAAACTCACACCAAACACCTTCTGAGAAAGTCCAGGAAGCTGGTGTCATAGGTTTTCAGCACCATCGTGAGATCCTTGGAATCCGGGTATCTTTTTTTCCCCCTGTTGTTGGTCATATTTTTAGGAAAACCTTTGGAATCTTTAGAGATACAATAATTCTGTGTTTAGTTCCAGATGTTATTATACATTGGTTATATCATAGCTGTTCATTCAACCACGTTGCTTCTTGGAGTGGTCTTTGCAGCTCTAGCTCTGTCTTATATTACCCACCTCCCACACAAAGGAATATGTTCCTCAGTCTCAGTCAGATGGAAAGAATCACATGTAGATTACCCAATGAATGCAATTAACCTTTACAATATTCCCCACTACCCAGTATGTTCTGAGCCTCCTTCCCACTCCTCCTCCCAAAATCAAAGGGCTTAACATTAACCAAAGTAAAATAATAATGATTAAAAATAATAAAAAATAAATCTGAAGGGACAAAAATATTCAGCTCTGAACAACAACAAAAAGATGTAGTCTATTCTTGGATTATCTATGCCCTTGCTCCTTTCCCACTAACTCAACAAAATGAGAATTTGGGACATCCCTGAAGTACAAGAAAGTCATTGTAGGAGAATCATCTGCTTTCAGAACTCATTTACAAGCCACACAAGCAAATTAATCTTATTATTTTTTATAGGCACATCAAAATTTTGTTCATAAATTGGAATGATTAAACTTGTTTTGTTGCTTAAAACAGCTTGGAAATGACTTTTTTCAGTCATTTTCATTCATGAAAACCCTCACCAAATGTATTTATCATGCCTGAAAAGAAGCTCTGAAGAAAGCTCCAGAGGTTTCCCCAGAATATTATGGGCAATGCTTTGAAGGTGAGGCCACTCATTTGGACATCTAGACTCTGGTGTGCATATCCAGACAAGGTGTCCACTTATGCTCCTACCTTGTAAATCTGCATATGGATGAATGTGAAAATACACACACACACACACAATTTACACATTAAACTGAATTTTCACAAAAACTCAGTTTCACATGATGGACATTCTGGAAGGTACAGAATGAGGCCTTTCTATTTTGTAATTAATGCAATATGTGGGGCCTCCAAAAACAATTCCTAGAAGAGACCATGAATGTGTATATGTATCACACATGGGTATGTGTATTTACAGACATAAAAATGAGTTAGGACATTGCATAGGGTATAGGTACTGTGAACCCCATTTCCTTTTTGACTATGGCACCAGTGCACCCATTTGATCCTATGTTGCTCTTTTTACAAGTAACTGAAGAGTCAGGCTCACGGGTTTATAAATAACAGCTCCTAAAATCATCATTATGTAACTGTTTTACAAGTTTTTCTCATCTCTTATGCTATATCATAGGAAAATAAAGGGAATGAGCACTTTTTGTCAAGTCCCCAACTAATTCTTATAGTCAGATAAAGTTTGGGAAACACTGAAGAAGATGAAAATCCCAATAAAGTCCTTTCTTATGCAGGAAGTGAAGACGTGGATATTGCTACCAAAAACACATCATTATTCTAAAGCCTCATGCTGATGGTAAAAACTAGTACTCTAAGAACTAGACCCTCTTACCATTATGCCCTATACTCCTTTCCTTTTAGTGCCCCCACACACAAGGTATAATCTTAAGTTCAGGCTTAAGATATGAGTCTTCCCACAATGTCTTTGTCTGGCAAGAAGGAACACCAATATCTCTACTTCTCTTTCCCTAAATCCTTTGAAATCCAAAAATCTAAATTAAAAGTGGTGGATGGGAAAAGCATATCCAGGATTAAAAGACCAGTTCCATTGCTCTGTATGTTATACAAACAAGTCAGCGAGATCTTCCTGTCTGCCATCAGCTGCTCTGGAAGGAGGGTTAGTGCATGGGCACTGTTCTAAGGCAGACAGGACACTGAGTATGCCCAAAGGGAAGGTCTTCAAAGCTCCAGCCATAACTACAGGGTGATGTATCAAAGATTTAACCATTGGAATGGCATGGGACTAACCAATCAGAAAGGATGATAGCTTTGGTACTGAAGCAGGGTCATGGAGGGACCCTCTGCTTGCCAGGCCTTAAACTTTGAGTTTCTGGATAACGGGGAGACCAACAGGTCCTGAGAAAGGGGCCAGGGAGCCTGTAGCTATGGCAGGTTTTTTTTTGTTTACCAAATAGTAACTGAAGTATACCGAATTTTAACCCCCACATGACTGAGCACTAGCTCAGTTATATGTTGACTTAACACCTTTATGTCCAGGAATCCTCCATAAAGGTTTTAAAAACTCTTTTATTGATGGAACAAGCTGTGGGAAGAAAGTGAAGGATTTGCCCCCATTCTGAAGGCACTCTTGGGTGGAAATAAGAGTTGAGAGGGCTAGGAATGATGGAGAGTCCATAGCCAGTAGAAGCCAATGAACTAAACTTATAAGAATGCTGGTCAGAAATGCTATTCAAAATGGCACAGAGCCTACCTGTGCAGTTCCCTTTCCCTCATGTTGGCTTCACTCCACTTGGCTGAACTTCTGGTCACTGTGGATTTTTCTACATGAGAATCCCTTAGGTTCTTGTGGTTTTTTAAAAAAGGACTTTAGATGTGAGACTGACTTCATCTATTCGGTGCATAGTGCCCTGGAAGCCCTTGCCTTCAGCAGTTGGACCTTGTTAATCCACCTGTCCATCTTGCACAGCACCAGTCAAATAGAAAGTCAGAGGATCAAAAATTCGGAGCCTGGAAATTGCAATGAGGGGGCAGCATGGGGCCATGGATGAAGCTTAATTCCAGCAATTAGGTAGCTGTCCTATACATAACTGGGAAGTCACAACATATCCGCAGCCAAACTGTATGACAGCCTTTATTTACCCATTTTATAGCAAAGTTGCAATGATTCTGGCATAGTACAGATTTGGAAGATTAAAAGAATTGCAGCAGGAAAGAATAATGGTCCGTTAATGATATGTAGCAAATTTCCCACTATTCTTAGAAAGGAGCTTCTGCTTTTTTATTTCCCTGAACAGTACATAGTGTGAAGGGGCAAGCTGCTTGGAGAAGCAAGGAGAATTTGCAGTAAAGGGCATAGTTATAATCTTTCAAGGTTTCAAGATCTCCCAATAGATCTTCTGAGCATGAACCTGGTCATTTTTATGCCAAGACCTCCTTCCCACTGTGACTCCTCCATCCCATCTCCATCATGCTTTCTGGTACCACTTGTCAGCAGATTTTTACTTTCCTAGCAGAAGTACCTAATCACAGCTTGCCCTTTGGGATGGGACTAGGGGAGAGCATTGAATGGGGTTTAGGGTATGGGAGGTTGCTCCAAGGTCTGTGAGACCTCATCACAATGAGAGAAAGAGTATTAGACCTAGGAACTTACCAAAGAATGTCTGTCTCCTGGAGGCCGTCTGAATGAAGTGGGTTGGTGGCAGGCCCAGCACCTTCAACAAGTACAATGCAGTGGGTTCACTCTTGTGGAGTCACACATTAGAACTGGATGGGACTTTGGCCAAATTTTGCTTCTACAGATAAGGACCCAAGGATATTATGTGATAACCTCAACCTGGTGATAAAAAGGCCCAGAGCATGGGTCTTCTGACTCCTAATTTAGGGCTCTTTCAGTATCCTGAGCATAAATATTAGTCGTGTTACTCTGAACAAGCGTTAAGACAAACTAGAGGTAGCTCACTCTTAATGGTAGCCAGATATCATCTGTCAGAATAAATAAAACAGTGTATGTGCTGACCATCCTTGAATTAAGGAATAACATATCCCAACTTGGAGATAGAATCACCAGATGGGCCTCAGTCCACTATATGACAAAAGAAAAGAAAATTATAGCACCCACTTGTTCACCTTTGCCCACTGTAGCCTATAGGGATACACAGAGACAGAGACAGAGAAATTACAGGTGTCATCCTCAGCCTTGAGTTCCCAGCCATATATATTTGCACAACCCTGTCCTCCTCCTCCTCCTCCTCAGCCTCACTGACAGTTCAGGAGGAAGTGAATCAAATCCCATACTTCTCAATTCTTCTTGGTATTGGAAACCGGATTGGTTCAGGAATGTTTCATTAAATCATTTATCATCAACTTTAGAAGCCAAGTACTCTGAACATCTCATTTTACAGAGGTCCAAAAGAGGGAACTGACTTATCCAAGAGAAAAGGCTGGGACCACACTCCAGACTTACTGATTCCCAGGCCAGTGTTCATTCCACCATAGATATCATTTATAGCTATTATGACCTAAGTTATTTTAATACTTATTAGTTTCAACCATGAAATGAAAGTATATTTAATAATTCCCAAGGGTATGTGTGTGTCCCTGTGACCATCTATAACTTTGAGTCAATCTAGAAAACAGAAATTTGGGATGGGTGGATGAATAGATAGAGATTAGACAGGTAATTAGATATATATATTGAGAGAGAGAGAGAAAACAGATCTTTGTCCACAGTCAAAATATCTTTGCTCACTGGTGTAATCCTAAAATGTGAAATTTCTAATTTTTAGTGTTATTTTATCCTGTTTTTATCTAATTTAGCTCCATAACATTATGTCTTTAAGAAAAATACATAATAAATAATCATACAATGAGTCTTGGTAAAGCCTTTTTATTGAAAGATATTCTTTCCAGAAAGTTAGGATAGTGAATGATTAATGAACAATACATAGATTTGGACAGGTGTCATCTCTGGTTTTTAGTTACTTCTGAGTATGTTTGAAAGACTGGCATAATGGTTTCATTTTAAAATGTCACTATTCTATCAGAAAGAGAAATTAAGAAAACAATTGCACCAAATATAATAAAATATCTAGGAATAAACTTAACCAATGAGGTGAAATACCTGTCCTATAAAAACTATAAAACATCGATGAAAGTCATGAAGACAACACAAACAAATGGAAAGATATTCCATGTTCATGGATTGGGAGAACAAATATTGTTAAAATGACCATAATCTATAGATTTAATACAATCCTTATCAAAATGCAAACAGCATTTTTCATAGAATTGGAACACATAATTCTAAAATTTATGTGGAACCACAAAAGACCCCAAATAGCCAAAGCAACCTGGAAAGAACAAAACTGGAGATATCACAATCCCAGATTTCAAGATATACTATAAATCCATAATAATCAAAACAGTATAATGCTAGTAACAAAAACAGACACATGGATCAAAGGAACCAAACAGAAAGCCCAGGAATAAATCCTATATGGTCCATTAATCAATTAGTCTTTGATAAAAGAGGTAAGAATATGGAAAAAGACAGAATCATACCAATGAACAAAGATATTTTGACTATGAACAAAGGTTTGATTTATATATATATAATAAATGCCCCCTATGTTTATTGCAGCATTATTTACAATGGCCAAATTATGGAAGCAGCCTAAGTGTCCATCAATAGATGAATGGATAAAGATATTTATATAAATATACACACACACACACATATATATATATATAGTGTATATAAAAAGATGTGGTGTGTGTATATATATATATATATATATGTGTGTGTGTGTGGTATACATAAATGCAGCATATATATATTAGTCTAATTACCTATTTAACATCTATTATCTATGCATCCATCCATCCCAAATTTCTATTTTCTAAATCAACTCAAATAGTGTTGGGAAAACTGGACAGTAACATGCAAAATAATGAAACTAGACTACTCTCTTAGACCATACACAAAAATAAACTCAAGTGAATCAAACCTAATGTGAGACCTCAAACCATAAAAATCCTAGAAGAGAGTAATGTATAGAATAGGCAGTAATTTCTCTAATGTCAGCAACAGCAACATTTTTCTAGATATAGCTCCTAAGGCAAAGGAAATAAAAGCAAAAATAAACCATTGGGACTACAACAAAATAAAAAGCTTTTTCATAGCATAGGAAACAATCAACAAAACTGAAAGACAACCTACTGAATGGGAAAAGATATTTGTAAATGACATTTCTAATAAAGTGTTAGTATCCAAAATATATGAAAAGTTAATACAATTCAACATCCAAAAAATAAATAATCCAATTAAGAATGGGCGGAGGAGGGGTGCCTGGGTGGTTCAGTCAGTTAAGTGTCTGCCTTTGGCTCAGGTCACAATCCCAGGGTCCTGGGTTCAAACCCTGCATCAGGCTTCCCTGCTCCTTGGGGAGCCTGTGTCTCCCTCTCCCTCTGCCTGCTGCTTCTCCTGCTGGTGCACTCGCTCACTCTCTCTCTCAAATAAATAAAATCTTTTTTTAAAAAGAATAAGCAGAACAGATAAATAGACATTTTTCTAAAGAAGTCATCTAGGTGGCCAACAGACACATGAAAAAGTACTCAACATCACTCATCATCAGGGAAATGCAAATCAAATCCACAATGAAATATCACCTCACACCTGTCAGAATGGCTAAAATAAAAAACATAAAAAATAACAAGTGTTGGCAAGGATGTAGAGAAAAAGAAACCCTTGTGCACTGTTGGAGGTAATGCAAACTTGTTCAGCCACTGGGGAAGACAGTATGGCGATTCCCCCCAAAATTAAAAAAATAATTACCATATGATCCAGTAGTGGGATCCAGTAATCCTACTACTGGATATTCACCCAAAGAATATAAAAGCACTAATTTGAAAAGATAAATGCACCCCTATGTTTATTGCAATATTATTTACAATGGCCAAATTATGGAAGCAGCACAAGTGTCCATCAATAGATGAATGGATAAAGATGTGAGATACACACACACACACACACACACACACACATATGTGGTATATATGTATATGCAGCATATATATAATGGAATATTACTCAGCCATCAAAAATGAAATCTTGCCACTTGCATCAACATTATACAAAATATAAGCTAAGTTAAATAAGTCAGTTAAATAAACACAAATACCATAAAAATATCTTATCACTTCACTTATATTCAGAATTTTAAAAACAAAACAAATGAACACAGAAAAAAGAGACGAACAAAAAACAGACTCTTAACTACAGAGAACAAACAGTTGGTTACCAGAGGGGAGGTGGGTGGAGGTTGGGTAAACTAGGTGAAAGAGATTAAAAGTACACTTATCAGGGTACCTGGTGGCTCAGTTGGTTAAGCATCCAACTCTTGATTTCAACTCAGGTTGTAATCTTAGGGTCATGAGATCAAGCCCTACATTGGGTTCCAATGTAGATTCCCTCTTTCCCTCTCCCCCTACCCCTCCCTACCCACCCATCCTTGGCTCACATATACTCTCTCTCTCAAGAAAAAAGTACATTTAACATGTTAAGCACTGAGTAATGTATAGAATTGTTGAATCACTGCATTGTACTCCTGAAACTAATATAACACTATATGTTAACTATCCTGGAATTAAATTTTTTTAAAATGACTAAAAAATAAAAAGTTAAAAAATGAAGTCACTTTCATAATATGTTTGAAATTTCATCCTCTGCAACTATTTAAATTTTATGATAAAAATGTTAGATACAACTCAAAAGTGTACAGAGGGGCACATAATTACAAAAATACATCCAACAACCACAAAAAAAGTACACAGGCCACTGCCCTACAGCGACTCTGATGCAGCCCAATGTTTGAGAGTGCAAGCTAACCATCCTGTGGCACCTCAGCCCTCCCCCTCACCTCCATGATGCAGGCCAGCTGCTCCATTTCATTCTCCCCAGGGAACAGAGGGTAGCCTGTGTACAACTCAGCCATGATGCAGCCCAGGCTCCACATATCAATGGCCATGTTGTAGGGATGGCCCAGAATCACCTCTGGGGATCTATAGAACCGGCTTTGGATGTAAGTGTATACTGTGGAGGGAGAAAGAAAGAGAACTATCATGTAAAATCCTCCTTTCCAAAACACACTTCTCCAAGGACATTTCAGGTGAAGGTAGAGGGTAACTAAGACTCCCCAGCCCCTTTCACTCTCCAGGGTTTGCAGGGAGATGAAAGTACAGCCCACCAGCATTTCTGAGTCAAGTTACATACATAATCTCATCAAATATTCATAGCAACCTGATAATCATGCAGTGTTATTATCCTCACTGTATTGGTCAAGAACTCTAGAGTAGGCATTGTTCCAGGAACGGACATTTAAGTCAGCCAAACTTTATTAAAAAAAGGAAACAGAAGGCTAATATAAAGCTAAATTTTTAAGCTATTACATTCATTTGGGGCAGACACCTTCTAAACTTACTGTGATTTGGTGAGAAAAGAGGCATATTAAAAAATGGAAAAGAAACCATGCAAAATGCATCTCTTCTAATGTGTCTGCAATATATTATGTGCAGTGTGTTGCATAAAGTACAGAAAGAAGAGCCCCCAATCTCAATAGATGAAGATGTGCAGAAGACAGTACTGTGCTTCCACATACTGACATTCTTTACCTAGATGCTGGCAGGGGAAGGGTTCTGTGGTCACTTCTCTAATGTTTGAGTCAGTAAAAACATAACAATTTCGTGAATAAAAACAAAATGAAGATATGATAAAAAATGACTTTTATACCCTGCCTACTTCCAAAATGGATTTAATGCACTTTGCAATCAAGGTACATATATACACAGCATAATTTTTTAAAAAAAATAGATTGAATGGACACTTCTATAATCCTTAACATATGCTGGGCACTATTCCAAGTGTTTTAATACAGAATAATCCTCAGTCCTTATGACAACCATGTGAAGCAGGTGCTATTATTGTCCTATCTTAAACTGAGAAAACAGACAGACAAAGATTAAATAAATTATCAAGGTCACTCAGCTCTAAGTGGCAGAGCTGGGATTTGAACTCAGGCTATTCAAGTGTAGTATCCATACTCTATACTGTCTCATGGTTAAAATAAAGATAAAGCGAAGTCAGAAAATACATAAAGAGGGAAATGACTATATGAAAGCAAGGATAAGACCATTACAAATTCTGTTGGGAGCATCCCGGTAGCCAAGCCAAGAGATTGCACAGCTTTCATGCCTGAGAAGAGTAAGCATAGGAGTACTTCATGGGAGGCAGATTGTCTTCTAGCTGGAATTTCTTATGGGTTCCATACATAAAAGATAACATGTCTTCAAAAGTAGTGCTGCAGAATATTTGGAAAAAACATCTAGAAGTCTTTTCTTTGGACTCCAGAGGCTTCCTGTGTCACCCCCTGCCGCCACGAAGGTTGATCCCAAGCCTTTCTTTACTATGCCCTTAGCATCATCTGTACATACTTGTAATCACTGCACCTATCCTGTTATCTTTGTTTCTTCCACTGAACTGTAAGCAATCAGAGCACAGGAAATGTTATTTTTTGTTGTTGTTGTTCTGGTACCCAGAACAGTGACAGACACATAGAAGATACTCAGTAAATGTTTGTTAAATGATACATGTTCTTGCCCTCAAACTTGATAAAAGTCAAAAGAAAAGGCAGTTAAATCACGTTCAAAGATGAAATATATTCCAGGGCTGCTTTTTGGATTCTAGCCTGGAAAAAAAATATAAAGTCTAGAGAACTTAGGGCAGTGAATCTCAAACCTCAGAATGGCTGTGTGTTCCACAGTGCAGACCGCTGGGGACTCCTCTAGAAATTTAAATTCCTTACATCTTGGATGAGGTCCTGGGGACTGTAATTTTTCAGGGCCTTCTGGTGATCCAGATGCACATCTAGTTAGTTTTGAGAGCCAAGACTCTGAGGTAATTCCAGATACAGAATTTGAGAGCTGCAAAGGAACCTTGTGGTATTTGAGTTTAATCTTCTCATTTTATAGATGAGGAGACTTAGGCTCAGAGAAGTGAAGCACCTTGTTCAAAATCATACCAAGCAATTGCTGTGGCTGAGCCCAGGCTACAACCCAGGTGACCTCACGTGAGAAGTGATGTTTCAGTAAGGGAAAGAAATTGTAATAGGAAAATTCAGACCAAGGGACCAGAATGGGCTTACCTTTCTGGTGTTCATAACAGCTTGATCCAAAGTCAATGACTTTAACAGAAACTTGGCCCTTTTGATATAAAACTATATTCTCCTAGAGAGGAGAAAGACAGATGTCAGGTTTTAATAATGTTTCTCCACACACTCTATTTACTGGAATGCCAGCCATCCTCCAGGACCCAGATCAAAATGTAACCAGCTCCAAGGGGTCTCTTCCCCAAATGCCATGTTCTCCCCCTCCTCTGACTTCCCGTTTGATTTGTGGTCTGTACCTCTTCTTTGGACTCAGTATTTATTGCTTTGTCGTATTTCTTTTGCATATATTTTGTCTCTTTCCCCATATGTAATGTGTAACTACTGAGCACTATGGGCTTATTTTCATCTCCTTGGCACCTGGCTCTATCCCTTGCTTGCATAAGGCCATAGAAATATACTAACTGAATTTAGTGTTTCCATTAAGGGCTCCTCCAATATACTGATATCAGTAATGAACCCAAAAAAGGCAATAATTTAATCTGAGCTATGATTCTTTCGTTGACATTGGGGAAAATGTGAAACCAGCGTCCCAGGAGAGCTGTGGTTAAGCTCCTGAGCTCTCAGAGCATGATGGTGTACTTCCTGGGCCTGGAGTTTAAAGTCCCAGTCATGTTTTCACAGATCTCAATATTAGATGAATTCACTATTATGAATAGTGCATGAATTAGTTGCTTACTGAGACCTTTAACTTTACAGATATGGCACAGCAGGCCTGGTCTGATGCCTCCGGCACCACAAATTAAGAAAGCACAACTTTAGTCCATATTCCTTTCCTAAAGAATATCTGTATTAACTGGAAGAGTTCAATCAGCAAAAGTCTTTTAAAAGCAGACATTTCTAGTGTGTCTCCAGACCAATGGAAAGGTTCCTTAACTAAAGAACTTCCCATCATATTGAAAAAAATTGCTCTAGAGAGGGGATGGATGCATCAGATCATCACAACTCATTGAAACTATCCTTTGAGTCCATTAGAATAACTCCTTGATTCTTTTTTTATTTAAATTAAATTAATTAATAATAGTGTATTATTAGTTTCCAAGTAGAGCTCAGTGATTCATCAGTTGTATATAACACCCAGTGCTCATTACAACCCATGCCCTGCTTAATACCCATCATCCAGTTACCCCATCCCCTCCACAACCCTCAGTTTGTTGCCTATTGTTATGAATCTCTCATGGTTTGTCTCCCTCTTTGATTTTGTCTTTATTTTTTCCTTTCTTCCTCTATGCTCATCTGTTTTTTCTCTTATATTTCACATATAAGTGAAATCCTGTGATAATTGTCTTTTCTGATTGACTTATTTCACTTAGCATAACACCCTCTAGTTCCATCCATATTGTAGCAAATGGCAAAATTTTATTTTTTGACGGCTAAGTAATATTCCATTATACATATATAATGAAACTTCTTTATTCATCTGTCGATGGACATCTGGGCTCTTTCCATATTTTGGCTGTTGTGGGCATTGCTGCTATAAGCATTGGGGTGCAGGTGCCACTTCAGAGCACCACATTTGTATCTTCAAAAAATTCCCTGATTTTTTATCTATACTCACCAAGCACTCTCCTAGTTGCACACACACTTTTCTACTTGGCATATGTATTCCAGTTTACTATTTCTGAAAAAAAATCTATTATGTCATGTGAATTTCCTTGTTGAGAGTCAGGCCCCAAAGCCTAAAGACCACAGATGTACAGTGACCCTTTGAAGCTGCAAATCTGAGTATTAGGAACTTGAATGTGGATAATAAATTAATGTATCATCATTCTTGTGAGAGTCCATCAGTAAGCCCTGAGAGAACATCTCTATCTTGTCAATATTAAATTGTAAAATTTACCCAATAAGTTACAGTTTTTTAAAAAATTAATTGTTTGGGGATAGAGGTTCCTCAAAAAGTTAAAACTAGAACTATCCTACAATCCACTAATCATGCTACTGGGTATTTACCCCCCAAATACAATTCCACTAATACACTTCTGGCTATTTACTCCTAAAACACTAATTCAAAGAGATACGTGCACCCTTATGTTTATAGTGGCATTATTTATAATAGCCAAATTATGAAAGTGGCCCAAGAATTCATCAACTGATGAATGGATAAAGAAGAGGTAGTATAAAAGGATACCTGGGTGGCTCAGTGGATGAGCATCTGCCTTCGGCTCAGGGCATGATCCCAGAGTCCCAGGGATGGAGTCCCACATCAGGCTCCCTGCATGGAGCCTGCTTCTCCCTCTGCCTCTGTCTCTACCTTTCTCTCTGTATCTCTCATGAGTAAATAAATAAGATCTTTTTTTAAAAAAAAGAGGTGATATATAGATATAGATATATAGATATTACTCAGCCATAAAAAGAAATGAAATATTACATTTGCAATAACATGGATGGAGCTAGAGAATATAGTGCTAAGGGAAATAAGTCAGTCAGATGAAGACAAATACCATATGATTTCACTGATATATAGAGTTTAAGAAACAAAACAAATGAGCAAGAGAGAGAGAGAGAGAGACCAGGAAACAGACTATTAACCATAGAGAACAAATTGATGGTTACCAGAGGGGAGGTTGGTGGGGGGATGGCTGAAACAGGCGATGAAGATTAAAGAGTACACTTATCATGATGAACACCACGTGTTATATGGAAGTGTTGAATCACTATATTGTACACCTGAAACTGATATATAACACTGTACTAACTATGCTGGAATTAAAATAAAAAACAACTAAAAATTAACTATTTGGGGGGAGTGCGAAGGGAATGAGGAAAAATTAAGGGATATTTACATATCTGTGAGAATCATATTGTTTTTGGAACCAGCTTCTGACCACATATCTTCACACCCTTATACCTTTCCCCTAGCTGTACTCCTCAAGTTTGCAATCATTAACTCTTCTAACAAGCATTTATTTATTACCTGCCATTACTATTGCCAAGTACCATGTTAGATCCTGGGAATAAAATGGTGAGAAGACATGGTCCCTGACCTTGGGGGAATTTGCAGTCAGTGGAAGATAAACCATCCCTACATAGCAATCAGAGCAGTAACAGAGCAAGTACAGAATACCAGCAGGACATATGGGAAGGGCACATTCATTTGGAGCAGAGAATTTTCTGTACCCTAGGACCAACTCAGAATAGAGTGAATAAAGTCAGGATTTAGTACAGTAGTTCTCCATATCCCTGCATTACATATGTCTCTACATACCTCTAAGCCTTCTGTAGGAAAGCCCTCAGATCTTTATGTTCCTGTCTTGATAGTACCACATCTCTCTGCATCACCCTGATATCTGTCCCCTAATCTTCACTGCATCTCTCTTGGTTTATACAACATATAAACATAACTGCTTGGCTTCTACCCTGGAGCCTTGGCCATGATGGCTTCCCAGTTACCACTGGGGAACAGAATGGGACAAATAGTTTCTGAGGGTGGGAACCAGCTCCCTTGGCAGGAAAGAGCTTGCACTCACGGGCTTGAGATCACAGTGAATGATTTTCTCTACATAAAGCATTTGCAAACACTTCAAAACAGAGAGGGTGAAGCGTCGAACTATTGACAGACTGAAGCCTTGAAAGCTATTATTCTTCATCAACTCATACAAGTTGATTCTGGAAAAGAGAGAGAGAGAGAAAGTGATGTGTACGTATCAGTGCAGAAGGTATTATGCTGAGCTTGAACCTGCAAACAATCCCATATCACCTGGTTTCCCTCTGGTAGTAGGCAAGCCTCAGGCCAGGAGGCAGAGCTTTTGTGTCCTATAAACTCAACTTTTGCCTTGATTCATGGTAGATCCTGTGTGAAGCTCAATTGTGCTGGCCTCTCAGATGTCCCCTTGTTTCTTATGTGGCAAGGTCATTTAATCACTTTGTTACACATGTGGGTGTTCAAAGGTTGGGCCAAACTTCTGAAATATTCATAATTTCTCAGGCCCTTGGGAAGGATCCAGGAAGTCCATCACCCAACCAAGTGGTCACTCCTGCCCCAAACTAATAAGGCTGTCTAAAGACATCAAAAGGTTCCTGATAAGTAAGGGAACAAGAGAGTGGGCAGATGGGGGCTGAGGTAAAATGAAGAAGCCCTACACCATCCAAAGTAATCCTGGTTCCTTGGTCCCATCCATCTGTAAGCTTGCAGAAATGAGGGTTTACTCTTGTTAGATTATCCTAAATTTTCTAGACAGGCAGAAGCCTGCCCTATTGTATAAAAGCCTGCTAAATTATATGAAATCTGATGATTTACAAGTGTTAGAAACAAATGCAAAGCATTTTAACAAGAAAAACATTGTCTGTGGGCTGCCAGTATGTGACTTTGTAAATCATCAAATGGAGAGAAGAGGGAAAGAAGGGGCACCACCCAGAAACAACTCTGCATCAACTTCTTGATTTCTCCCAATCTTCCATTTCTAAGCCTTCTCTAACTTTGGCAGTATTTAGGAAGCTGTTCATTCTTGAGGAGTACAGGAAGATGTATAGCTCTAGCCTCATCCTGACTAGCTGTGTGACCCTGGGCAACTCCCAACCTCTATGGTCTTTGGATTCTCCCCCAGCATATTTGCCCCTCCTCACTTCTCAGAGCTCTAATTTTAAGTACAATGACATCTAACTGGCTTGTTCTTTTAAATACAATGAAATCTAATCCTGGCTTGTTCATTTTGACAGAAGGAAGATAATTCACCTCTGCATACAGAAAGTAGACCATATTTTGTAGTCATCAGAGATGGTGAGAAGAGTGTCAACTTTCCTTCTAATTCAAGTTTAGCTGGTTCTTAGAATTTCACTGACAACAAAGGTGTCATGGGAGCACCAAGCTACCAGCTCAGGGAATCCCATAATACTGGGCCTCTGAGAGTCTACCCTAATTATTCCCCTTTGCTAAATGCTTTCTGGGTTTCTGGTTTTGTTCAAATTATGGAAGCTGGTCTTCTCAGAGAGAAAAGTAATCAGATTAGCATGCCCTTCCAATTAGCACACCCTTCCAGCTCCAATATTCAGCGAGGTGATACCAATCTATTTGTCAGGTTCTGCTTCCTCGCCAAAAAAAATATCTGCTCCTATCCTTATTTGCTCAAAATCAAAGTCCTTTCCCTGCCTGAGAGCAGCTAGCTGCTACTCCCTTGGGTTCCAAGGAGAATTATAAAGCCAGTGAATGGAGACATGGGGGCAAAGGATAGTCGTTTTCAACGTATTTAAGTTTCAATCTTGAGGGCAGGGGCCTTGTATTGGTTATGTCACCCAGTTTGGCACCCAACACTTGGGCAGCACATCCTGAGTATGCTGGCAGGTGAGAGACATGACTGAGGGGTGGAGTGAAATGAGCAGCTTTGGATACAGCTCTTCACTCCTTAGCTTTCTAGGTAACTGAGTGGCCATTGTGTCTACTCTAGTCATTAAAAGTTCACATCTAGAAAAATCTAGTGTTCGGACCTCAAAGTTTTTCTTCTATCACCTTAAGCAACTTTTCAAAAGAAAATATATTAAAAGAAAAAGCAGCTGACCCCAGGAGTTCAAAGGTGATGCAGAGATGATTTCGAAAATAGAAGAAGTCCTTCATGTGTACCACATTGTAGGTGTTGTCTTTGTCCTTCCTTCTGAGAGCTTCCAGGATCTTCAATTCCACCAGGGCTTGGTGGTGAAATCTGAAGTGTTAGGGGAGTGGCAGGAGGATAGGATATGGGGACAGAATTTACAGTGTCATGTTATGCTGCAGCACTTAGCCCCATTACCCAGACCCTCCCCATCACCCCAACAAGACTGTCCAGGGGGAGCAGAAAGCACTAAAAGCTTCATAATCTTGCCTCTTCTTTGCCCCATTGTGAAATCAGATAGGTAGAGAGAGAAAGAGGGAAAAGGATGAGGAAGATCAGAAGAAAAAGCAGAAACAGGAAGGGTTGGCATTATGAAGGGGCCAGAGTCATGCAGACCACCCCTCCCATGGCCTAGGCCATCTGCCAAACCACACCTCTTCTTGTTCCTGATGATTTTCAAGGCCACCAACTCATTGTTTTTGTGATCCAAGCACTTGGCCACCTGTCCAAAGGACCCTTTCCCGATCATCTCCAAAACCTCATAGCGATAGGCAATGTGGTCATGCAGGACCTGCAGAATCCAGGTCAGGGTGAGGAACAGAGCCATAGGCTATGGGGCTTCCCTGATATTGGGGCCCATGTCATCTCATGGTTTACCCTCAGGGAGATCATTCTGAACTGCACTGAGTATTTGTGCAACTCCCACCCTCCTGTTAATTGCTTCTGCAATGGTGAGGTTGTTGCTGGGATCGCAGGCTACCAGTGTGGTTCCAGGAAGGTCCCACAGGTTCTATCCATGCCAAGCAGTGCAAAGAACATTGGATGGTCTTAGAAAACTCAGGTTCTAGATCTAGTCCATCACCTCTAGTTTTCTGCCTATGTGGGAATCTGTAAAATGAGAAGATTGAACAAAGTGGCTCTAAAGTCCCTTCCAGTTTGGATATTTCATAATTCTTGAATGCAGCCAAGCAGCAATTTGGGGGAAGTTCTATTTCTGATCCTTGATGTGTCTCCATTAATCAGAGAAAGCTTCATGTCTGCTCTGCCTCTTCCTGTCAGAACTGGTCCTCCTCTTGACTTACTCAGATTTAATTCTAACTTGAGAGTTAGCAGTAAAGAACTTGAATCTTTCTCAACTAAGAGAAGCATTTTCCAAGAGCCAGAATCACCTATTCTCTTCATGGGCTGGAAACTAGAGAATGGGTTATTTATTCAAAGCAATAGGAAATTTTCATTTAAAAATACTTTATCTGAGTATCTTCAGACAAATCACTTACCCACTATGAGCTGAGTGCCCTCATCTGTAACTGAAGGTCTTGGAGAAGAACCTCTAAGACATTCCAGCTCTGAGAATCTCTGATTCCTAGTTTTACTCTCAGGATTTGGGAGAGGCGAAAGACAGATGTTTGTATACAGTCCTCAGAATGTGTTTGTGATTCTGTGGTGGTGGTTCAGTCATAGAGCAGGAATCAGGACCATGAATATGAACAGGTACAACTTTACCTGTTAATATGTGGAAGTGGATTACCCTACTTGTAAAATTCGGTTGTGACAATGTACAGGGAAAGGGTAATGGACAAGTTCTGCACATATTGGCATAAAGTTATTTTGTATGTATTTTGGGGCTTGGAGCCCAAGCCCCAGACCCTTGGGCCCCAAGTCATCAGTTTGGTTGTATGATAATTATTTGTCTAGATGTCAACTTTGACACTGATTATCATTACTTGAAGACAAGGACCAGGTTGTGTTCATTTTTATAATTCCCCTTATATTTTCAGAGTCTATCACATGCCCAAACATATAAAACGCTCTCAATAAATAGTTATTCAATTAATAATTGCTGAAAGAATAGAAATACTTGTTTGGGAATTTAGCATGGAATTTTTGGGAATTTGATAAAGATGGAGGTTCTGAGTAAACAGTGAGCACGCGTCATCCCCCTGCCTGCCTCCACCAGTAACATAGCTACTAAGATTTGAGACTGAGGAACTGAGCTCCAGTGAATTGACTTAAAGGTAGTGTTGACATCCCTGGGGAATTTCCCAGGAACTCTATGCCCAGGTATCGTTGGGGTAGAGGAGCTGAGGATGTCTGGATGAATTGGAAGTAAGGTTAACCAAGGATTAATTTGTGCCAGAAACTCTAAATCCTTCCTTCTCAGAGTGTGACCAAAGGACCAGCAGCATGGGCATCACCTGGAAGCTTTTGAAAAAGGCAAAATCTTAGGTTCTATCCCACACCTGTTGGATAAACATCCACATTTTTAACAAGACCTCCAGGGGATTTAGGTACATAGTAAAGCTGAGAAACACAGCTTTAAATACTCTGAAGAAATATGTCTCTTCTACAAAGCCATCAAAGACCAATCTTACTTCTTTAAACGTAACCAAGTTGTGAGAAAACGTCCAGAGGAGGAAATTCCCAGCAGCCCACAAATCTAGTGGACCAAGCATCACATATCTGGACATCTTCAGAAGTGAAAATTGCTTTCTGAAGCAAAAAAGACACTTTCCACTGCCCAGATTTTGCCTTCAGGCCTAGTAAGAGGCACTGTCCTGGGGAACTTCAAAGACACAATCAGAAGAGAAGAAGGAGTCAAGAGCTAGGTGCCAGGGACTACAGTGACAAGAACCTTTTTTTGCTTGTGGAGAAATGGCATTTAAAATGAAATAGGAAAAAAAATGAAATAGAAAGAGGTCCATGTGTGGGCTTGTATGGAGGAGACAAAAAAACAAGACATTGGGAAGACTGCATCTTATTCCATGGAGTCTGACCTTTCCAATGGGTAAAGGGCTGTGCAGAAAAAGTTTGTGAGAATTTGCCCAGCATGCAAACTTGTTACCCCAAATACTCTTGGAATACCCTTAGCAGAGTAGTTTGTATATTAACTGCATGTTTTCCCATTTTCAACATGGCATTTCTTTGGTTTAGCACCCACTAGAATCCTTCAGGATGCCTAGTCTGAGATGTATTGGCACTAAATGCTATTAAAACAAAAAAGCCCACACTTTTTTTTCCTTTCCAGACTACCTCTTATCCCAAGCCCAAGGCCCTTGGAGTTACCATGACCTACTTCCCCATCACCTTCATATAGGAGCCATGTTCATCATCGAAACTCATTTTGCTGAACTTCTCAGGAGTCATGTGGAGCTTCTCTGCTTCAAGCCCCAGGAACCACAGCTCTGTGTAGCCCAGGATTTCACTTTGCTCATACGAAGATAGCTGGTTCTTAAAACACTTTAAGGCCTCTGTATGAAAGACACTATAGTTGTAGTTGAGGCAACATGGGGATTTGCCCAGGGTCCTAATGATGGCACCCTTTCTTGCTCATAAGCCAGTCACTCCTTTCTTCAACTAGGTGGCTTACTAAGGATCTTAAAACTCACAGGGTAGAAATGTAAAGGATAAATGTTAAGATGTCACACTGACTTCAACAAATCAGGAGGGAAACATAAAGGGAAAGGGAGAATCTAGCTCCCAAAAGCTATGGTTGCAGCAGCATGGGTAAAAATTCCAGGAGGAAAGCTAGTGTCAACAACAGTATGTAGTTATGGCAGCAGTTTCTGAGTTAATATGGTTTGCAGCTACACAAATAGTTTATCCCAAGAAGGTTACCCCTTAAAGGGCCAAGCAGGTAACTTAAATGCAACTTTAAAAGCCCAGGAGGTATTCCCACTCAAGTCTGCAGCTCAGACTGCAAGGAAGGAATGAGTGTTTGTTCTTCTCTACCCTTCTCTGTCCAGACCCCGTCAGGTGTTTGATGTTTGGTCTGGCAGCAAGTGGGGTGGGATTCAAACTTTAAGTAGATAAACTGGAGAGTGCTGAGAGAGTCCTGGGGATTGCAGGTGGGAGGAGAAGGCACCATGTTATTTGACAAACTGCTAAAGAGTTGAAGAAGGAACTGCCAGAAGGAAAAAAGTCATGAGAGACAAGACCTGTGTGAAGGGCAGTCATGTGAATGCTGAATAAGGCATATTCCTAGCCCAGAAGACAGAACCAAGACCTAAGAAAACAAGGAGGCAGATTATCAGCTCTGTAAAGGAAAAACTAGCTCAAAACTGAACTGATCTTTTTGTGGGTGGTTCCCAAGATTGTTTAAGAAGTGGAAGGACAATAATTTCAAAGCTGTGGGTAAAGAGCTCCAAGCATCAGAGGGTGTTGGCATAGTGAGTGTTAGTTCTCTTCCTTTGAATTCTAATAGGAAATGAATCTCTGAACCTTGTATGGATGGAGTTGGGCTCCTGGCCAAAAACATATGTGTGATCTTTCAGGCCCAACCATAGGTAATTAAAAGGCTTCCTGGCAGGGTTCATGAGGAAGCTTCCCTCCCCATGCCAGCACTGGTGCAGAGCCAGTGCATGAAGTATCTGAAAAGTTGCAGTCAAGGGCTCAGGTTCCCCTGGGTGGCCATGCACTTAGACACATCTGCATTCCTAACCAAGATGCCCCCATTCCTTGAGTATTTCTGCCAAGACATCCTTATCAAGAGGAGAAAGTGAGGCCTTAAGATACTTGTCCCTACTCTGACTCAGTACTTAGTTCATTTCTACTATTAGCTCTTCCCCTCTACCTCCTCCCCAACCCCTCCATAAAATGACTGAAGGCCTGTTCAGCTCTCTAGGCAGTGAGACAGTTCCCTCTGACTGAGCTGATGCATCTGACCTGGTGTGGTGCCAGTCCATGGGGGAAAATGGAATACTGGGGAGTTGGTGTTTTCCCCTTTTTTAAAAATATTTTTTATTGGAGTTCAATTTGCCAACATATGGGTATAACATCCAATTCCCCTATTTAATCTCTTGCTTATTCTATCACAGTAAGTAATGAGAAGCTTACTGTTACTTTCATTTTGGCTTTTTTCCTTAGTTGACTTCTCCAACATCTGGTTCAGCTCAGCTCATGACGCCTTGACCATCTAGAATCAGCACCCCCTACACCCTGTTATTGCCCAAAAGGCATACCTGCTGCAGTGAGAGGCACCTTGTGCTTTCTTGGTGGTTTCTCCTCTGGCTTGGGATCTTTGGTTTTAATGCTTGAATGGAAAGGCAATTCAGAAGCCTTGAGTTCAGAGGCTGGCATCTGATTATGACTTTGATTATCCTGTCCAGACAAAGAGACTTGGAATAAAGTACTGCTTAGACTTCTCTTGGGTGTCACAAACTATTTATCAGACCAAGAACACCCACATCCAGCCAGACTCTTCTACCTTTCCAGGGAGAAAATGATAATTATCAGACACTAGGTTTTCTGAATCTTCCTGTCAAAGGAAGTATCTGTCTGACTCACATTATTCTCTATAAGGCCCATGCACAGTACCTTATGCAGTTGATAACCCCAGTGATGTCTTACTCCAGGAAGAAATGGGAACAGTTTTGTTTTTGTTTTTGTTTTTGTTTTTTTTTTACTACTGCTCTTAAGAAGGTCAGTTCCTAACTAAATAAAGTGATTTGCCCAAGGGCACAAACACTTGAAGTTATAATACCTCTTTAACTTGGCACTTTCTCACATTATCTTATTTGGTCCTTATACAAAAAAAAAAGTAAGGGACATTGGAGGAAAACACTCATTTTGTATGCTTCTACCATTTATATACCAGACACTTCATTCTTCCTTTCCTCAATGAATCTTCATGACAACCCTATGAAAAGCCCATTTTGTAGATAAAAGAAAGTCAGTGATTTATTTGCTAAGGTTTATATTCTTTATAAAGAGACAGGACTAGAAACCAATTCTTCAGGTGACATTGTGCTTTTCCCAGCCTTTCTAAACTTGGTTCTGGACAGCAGTTAGGTCTTTGACCTGCTTGCTCAGGGCCATGTCCACTGCCCTGTACTCACCTGATACAGCAGGGGTGGCTTTAGCAAGATTTTGTTGCCGATGCATGGAAAGTTAACCATGTTTTTCTTCCCCTTGGTATCCACAAAAGGGAGTGAAGTAATGCTGGTGTTTGGATTCTATATAAGGAGAAAGTGGATAAGGTGCAGAGCCTCAGGAAAGAAATCTTTGTCTTCACGGAGTCATTTCTACCAGCTCTCCTACCACAGCAAGAATGAGCCTGAACCAAATCCAGGCCTAAATGTATTTTCAAAGCTCTTGTACAGCAAAGCAGAGTGGTCAAGCAGATGAGCTCTGGGTTTGAATCCCTGCTCCACTGCTTACAGCTGAAGATCTTGAATAGGTCACACAACTCTCTCTTTAAGCTTCAGTTATCTCATCACTACCATGGGGACAAAAATGGGATCTACCTCATAAGGCTTTTGTGAGGTAAACAAGGCAACTCATGTAGAGTATTCCATAAGTGTTGGCCATTATTATCATCATTCTAATATCTTACCACCCTATTATGGGGAAGCTCTTCCTGCTAAATAACGTACATCTTCCATGGTGCAATATAAGCTCCCATTTCCTCTACATTATTGATTTGACCTTCCTTGGATCCCTGCCCTCATGCATTGATTGACTGATTGATTACAAAAGAGGTAGTCTGTCAGTGAATAGCCACATTCAAAATTGTGTGGAGATGAGGCATGGTGATGTGGATAAAGCATATGCATCATATTATGCTGAGTTGACCAAAATGCCACTGAAAAGCTACCCTGGCCACCCACATACCTTCATCCTTTCCTAGAGAAAAGACACTAAACATCACTGCCCACCTTATGTAAGAATCGAGTCATTCTGAGGTTCTTAATCTTGGAAGGTGGCTTCTGGGCTTGCGCCAAAGGCTTACTCTCAACCTAGATCAAGTAGAACAGTATTGAAATAGTGTTTAGCATGCTATCATCTCAAGCTGTTGAGACATATGTTTTGCTCCATTACAACAATCAAGATACGGTTGAAGCCAGCTCTCTTGACCTCAAAGCTAGGAAGAGCTAAGAGAAGCCCAGAGAAGTGTTGAATGAATGTATGAGTGACTGCAAATCAAAACAAGTGGTCTTTCTGGCAGTTCTTATCCTGGATTGACTTTTCCTATGGTTTTCATACTTTAAAAAATCTATAGAGCCTTTTCTTCAGATATAATTTTAACTAGGCACCTTGGACAGGGGAAGAAAGAAAAGCTGAGCTGCTCCTTCTAAAGAGACAAAAATGTCCACAGTTTTGCTCTGGGACTCTTTCGACCCAGGGGCCCTAGTAGAACCCACTAGAATATGGGACCCCAGCCTGAACACCAGGGACTGATCAGAAGAGACTTCACTCTAGAAAGGGATGGCAAGCACACCATGAAAGTATATGACATAATTGTGTATGATATAAGATGGCAGTTATCTAACGGTTATACATTTATTTTAATATCCACTTGAAAAACTATAGCACATTAAACCTATAATTTTACTATGAAAAATGAGACCAAAATTTAAGTTTAAAAAAGTGTGAGCATTACATAGATATGACAAAAACCATGAAGGTGGCACTGAAACTACTAAAGTTTAGCAAAAACAGGCTATAGTTTAAATCTAGGTTCTTCTCTTTGTTTTTTTATAATAAATTTATTTTTTATTGGTGTTCAATTTGCCAACATACAGAATAACACCCAGTGCTCATCCCATCAAGTGCCCACCTCAGTGCCCATCACCCATTCACCCCCACCACCCATCCTCCTCCCCTGCCACCACCCCTAGTTCGTTTCCCAGAGTTAGGAGTCTTTATGTTAGGTTCTTCTCTTTGAAGCAGAACTCATGTGTTCTCCTTCATCCAGCCCCCTCTTTGGGCACTGGATGAGACTTATCTGAGACACAGCTGGTGCCAGACCCACCTTTGCTTACCCACCTTTGTAAAACTTGGTATACTGGCCACAATGATATACAAACTGGAGACAGTAGTTCAACTTAATATCACCCAACACAGCTAAGCCTCTACAGAGCTATAATGATGGGGATCATGAAGAATAGACCATCTTGACCTCCTAAAATAAGGACATGACCTGAAGGAGAAGGGGCTGCATAGAGCATGGCTCATGGCCTTAAACCAAACTAATTTAATTGGCTAACTATACTAATGCAGGATTTGATTGTCTATTGAATGGAAAATGATTATATCTGAGCAAATACTGTAATCACAAACCTCACAGAGTCCCAACTTCTCACCAAATAAGTCTATGGGGATGAAAACTTACAACAGTCACAACAATGGCAAGATGGCATTGAGAACAAGTTGGGGAGACTGAACAGACCAATGAAAAGTATATTAACAAAACACAACTAAATACCAAACAAAGGGCAGGAACAATGAATGTTAACAAAGAAAAAAGAGATCACTGTAAATGCAGTTTTCCCAGGAGAATGTGAGGGGGCTTTGTGGAAAGGGTGTGGCTTGTTCTTGGCTTTAACTGGGAGGAAGGGTAGAGAGTGTGCTCATTAGGTAAAACAGTATCTGGGAATGCTCTAAGGGTCCTCACTGCTCATTCTGACTAAGCTGGTGCAGAAGGTACACTGGATTGTGGATGGCACTGAATGCTAACCTAAGATATTGGGTCTTTATCTAATGGGCAATAGCGTACCACTATTTGTTACATATGCAGAACAGTATTTCAGAAAGACCCTTCTAGCAGCAATGCGGCATAAAATAATGATCACAGATATAAACTCTGATATCAGACCTTAGTTCTGAATCCCAGCTCCACTACTCATTAGTTGTTTGACCTTGGGCAAGTTTTTAACCTTTTCTCACGTAACATAGTAATATAACAGTACCAACCTCATAGGGTTGTCATAAGGATTAAGGGAGTTCATGCGCATAAAGCACTTAAACCAGTGCCTTCTATATGCCAAGGATAAGTGTTTGCTAGAAGTCATTCTCCTCTTTTATAAATTGGAGAATAATTTTTGGTTATTTCTCTTGAGAAAGGAAAACCATGGACTCAGAACTGATGGAGAATGAAAAAGATGGTGTACAACCTAAAATGGCTAAAGACAAAAAAATAAAAATTAAAATAAAAAAATAAAATGGTTAAAGGCATTAAGGCTGTTTAATACAAGAGAAGATAAAACAAGATGTGTGAGAAGTTAACAATTCTGATACTGCCATACATTTATACTGGAACCAAATGACTAAATAATAGGATTGTAGATGACAGGAACCAGGTTTCCTATGTTGGGCTGGAGATTTATAGATAGTCAAGGTCATCATCAACATTACCACCATGTGATAATTAGAGTTGGAGACATCATTTCGACCTCATGTTTAACCCAATGTAGATACAAATGGTTACATATAGAAATACTTATAGATATGTTTATATGCAGGGGTTAATGCATGTGCTTGTGTGCACACACAACACAGACATACACACACACACACACACACACACACACACACATTTCTTTGCTTTGTTAGCTTGAGAGATTCCTAAAAGAACTAACACCTCCATAGAAACAAGTACAACTAATACTCACAACTTGGCTTCTAATGCCATTCTCCAGTAAGAGGAAGCAAAACTTTTTGGAGAAAAGATTGATTCTAGGACTGGGTCAGGAAATACACAAGATTGGCCTGGAGCATCTTCTATGACATAAATAGGGAAGGGCTCAAAAAAAAATAATCCCACATTTTTTTAAAAGATTTTATTTATTTATTCTTGATAGAGAGAGAAGCAGAGACACAGGAAGAGGGAGGAGCAGGCTCCATGCAGGGAGCCCAACATGGAACTTGATCCCGGGACTCCAGGATCACGCCCTGGGCCAAAGGCAGGTGCTAAACCGCTGAGCCACCCAGGCTGCCCAAAATAATCCCACATTGATGAGAGTGTGTCAAAAGGGCACAGGAACCAACTGACAGAGTTCCCAATGGCCAAAGCTGGAACAATTTTAGCAACAAAATATAGTAGTGTTGGATTATAACTCAAGGTTTAAAATAAATATCCACAAATCCATACTGATGTAAATGAATAATTTAATAAAGAAATAAACAGGGAGAAGAAACAAATCTCCCATGCAGAAGAGTTCCTAATATATTATACAAATACTCCACCCTAGAGGAGAGCACAACTTGCCACTCCTTAAGCTGTGCATAGTTACTGGTTTCCAAAAAGTATAGCATGGAAAGGAGAGAACTAAAGCAACTGTAGAGGAGAAACCAGGCCAAAACCATTTCACCCAGGTAAT